CCTCTTCCTTGTGGCGCACACCTTCCTTGTGACGAGGTACACCCTTTCCTTGTGGCGGTACACCTTCCTTGTGGAGGTACACCTTCCTTGTGGCGAGGTACATCTCTTCTGTGGCGAGGTACACCTTCCTGGGCGCTGTACACCCTTCCTTGTGGCTGCACACCCTTTCCTTGTGATGCGGCATTACTCTTCCTTGTGGCGAGGTACACCTCTTCCTTGTGATGCGGTACACCTCTTCCTTGTGGCGAGGTACACTTTCCTTGTGACGCGGTACACCTTTCTTGTGGCGAGGTACACCTTTCCTTGTGGCGAGAGCACACTCTTCTTGTGGCGGTACACCTCTTCCTTGTGGCGAGGTACACCCTTCCTTTGTGACGCGGGTACACCTCTTCCTTGTGGCGGGTACATCTTTCCTGACGCGTACACCTTTCCTTGGACGCGAACACCTCTTCCTTGACGCGTACACCTCTTCCTGTGGCGCTGTACACCTTCTTGTGGCGCGGTACACCTTTCCTTGTGGCGAGGTACATCTTCCTTGACGCGTACACCTCTTCCTTGTGACGCGTACACCTCTTCCTTGTGACGCGGATAACCTCTTTTCTCAGACGCGGCTGACTCCTTCCTTGTGGCGCCGGGTACACCTATTCTTGTGGCGAGGTACACCTCTTCTCTGACGCGGTACGCCTCCCCTTGTGACGCGGCACGCCTCTTCCTTGTGACGCTGCACGCCTCTTCTAGACGCGCACCCTCTTCCTTGTGACGCGTATTACCCTCTTCCTGTGGCGAGGTACACCCTTTCCTTGTGGCGCGGTACACCTCTTCCTTGTGGCTAGGCACACCTCTTCCTTGTGTCGAGGTACACTCTTCCTTGGACGCGGTACACCTCTTCCTTGTGGCGAGGTACACCTCTTCCTTGTGGCGCTGCACATTGCCTTGTGAGCAGTGCACCTCTTCCTTTGTGGCGAGGTACACCCTTCCTTGTGGCGAGGTACACCTCTTCCTTGTGGTGAGTGGCACACCTCTTCCTTGTGGCGAGGGCACACCTCTTCCTTGTGACGCGGTACACCTCTTCCTGTGTGAGGTACACCTCTTCCTTGTGGCGAGGTACACCTCTTCCCTGGCGAGGTACACCCTTTCGTGGCGAGGTACACTTTACTTGTGGTGCACACTCTTTCCTTTGGTGAGGTACACTCTTCCTTGTGGCGAGGTACACCTCTTCTGTGGCGAGGTACACCTCTTCCTTGTGGCGAGGATACCTCTTCCTTGTGACGCGGTACACCTCTTCCTTGTGGACGCTGTACACCTCTTCCTTGTGGCGAGGTACACCTCTTCCTTGTGACGCGGTACACCTCTTCCTTGTGGCGAGGTACACCTCTTCCTTGTGGCGAGGCACTCTTCCGACGCTGCACACCTTTCCTTGTGGAGCGGTACACCTCTTCTTGTGGCGAGGTAACCTCTTCCTTGTGGCGAGGTACACCTTCCTTGTGGGCACACTCTTCCTTGTGGCGAGGAGTACACCTTTCCTTGTGGGAGGTACACCTCTTCCTTGTGACGCGCACTTCCTTCCTTGTGACGCGGTACACCTCTTCCTTGTGGCGAGGTACACCTTCCTTGTGACGCTGCACACCCTTCTTGTGACGCTGCACACCTCTTCCTTGGACGAGGTACACGTCTTCCTTGTGGCGAGGTACACCTTTCCTTGAGGCGTGCACACCTCTTCCTTGTGACGCGGTACACCTCTTCCTTGTGACGCGGGTACACCTCTCGACGCCGGTACACCTCTTCCTGACGCAGTACACCTCTTCCCTGTGTGAGGTACACCTTTTCCTTGTGACGCGGCACACCTCTTCCTTGTGACGCGTACACCTCTTCCTTGTGACGTGAGGTACACCTCTTCTTGTGGCGCGGTACACCTCTTCCTTGTGGCGAGGTACACCTTCCCTTGTGGCTGCAGCACCTCTTCCTGTGACGCGGTACACCTCTTCCTGACGCGGTACACCTCTTCCTTGTGACGCGGTACACCTCTTCCTTGTGACGCGGTACACTCTCCCCTTGTGACGCTGTACATTTTCTTCTCTGACGCTGTACACCTCTTCCTTGTGACGCGGCACACCCTTCTTGTGGCGCTGTACACCTCTTCTTGTGGCGAGGTACACCTCTTCCTTGTGGCGAGGCACACCTCTTCCTTGTGACGCGTGCACACCTTCTCAGACGCTGCACACCTTTTCCTTGTGACGCTGCACATTTCTTCCTTGTGACGCGGTACATTTCTTCCTTGTGACGCGGCATTTCTTTCCTTGACGCGGGACACCTCTTTCCTTGTGGCGAGGTACACCTCTTCCTTGTGACGCGGTACACCTTTTCCTTGTGACGCGGCACATTTTTCCTTGTGACGCGGTACATTTCTTTCCTTGTGACGCGTGCACATTTCTTCTTGTGACGCTGTACACCTCCTCCTTGACGCGGGTACACCTCTTCCTTGTGCATTGGTACATTTTCTTCCTTGTGACGCGTACATTTCTTCATTGTGAGGCGTACATTTCTTCCTTGACGCGGTACATTTCTTCCTTGGACGCGGTACACCTTTCCTTGTGGCGAGGTACACCTCTTCCTTGTGACACGGTACTCCTTCCTTGTGGCGTGGTACACCTCTTCCTTGTGGAGCGGTACACCCTTCCTGTGGCGCGGTACACCTCTTCCTTGGGCGAGGTACACCTCTTCCTTGTGGCCGGTACACTTTCCTTGTGGCGGTACATCTTTCCTTGTGGCGCGGTACATTTTCCTTGTGACGCGTACACCTTTTTCAGTGTGTGACGCTGTACACCTCTTCCTTGTGACGTGGTACACCCTTCCTTGTGACGTGGTACATCTTTCCTTGTGGCGCTGCACACCTCTTCTGTACGTGGTACACCTCTTCCTTGTGACGCGGTACACCATTTCAGTGTGACGCGTACACCATTTCGTGTGACGCTGTACACCATTTCAGTGTGACGCGTACACCTTCTTCCTGTGGCGCTGTACATCTTTCCTTGTAGCCGGCATATCTTTTCCCTGGACGGGTACACCTCTTCCTTGTGGCGCGGGCATATCTTTCCTTGTGAGCGCTGCACACCATTTCAGTGTGACGCGGTACACCATTTCAGTGTGACGCGGTACCTTCTTTCCTTGTGACGCTGGTACACTCTTCCTTGTGACGCGGTACACCTTCCTTGTGACGCTGCTACACCATTTCAGTGTGACGCGGTACACCATTTCAGTGTGACGCTGGTACACCATTTCAGTGTGACGCGTATACATCTCTTCCTTGTGACGCTGTACACCTCTTCCTTGTGACGTGGTACACCTTCCTTGTGACGCTGCACACCATTTCAGTGTGACGCGGTACACCTATTTCAGTGTGACGCTGTACACCTCTTCCTTGTGACGCTGCACACCTTCCTTGTGGCTGTACACCTCTTCCTTGTGACGCGGTACACCATTTCAGGAGGCTGCACACCATTTGTGATGCGGTACACCTTCCTTGTGGCGCTGGCATCTCTTCCTTGGACGCTGGGTACACCTCTTCCTTGTGACGGTACACCTCTTCTTCCGTGACGCTGCACACCTCTTCCTTGTGGCGCAGTACATCTCTTCCCTTGTGACGCGGCACCTTCTTCCTTGTGACTCCACTTCCTGTGACACGGTACACCTCTTCCTTGTGACTCCACTTCCCTGTGACACTGTACACCTCTTCCTTGTGACTCCACTTCCCTGTGACACGGTACACCTCTTCCTTGTGACTCCACTTCCTTGTGGCTGCACACACCTTTTCCGTGTGACGCGTACACCTCTTCCTTGTGAGGTACACCCTTTCCTTTGTGGCGCTGTACACCTTTTCCGTGTGACGCGTACACCCTTCCTTGTGACGTGGTACACCTCTTCCTTGTGGCGCGGTACATCTCTTCCTTGTGACGCGGTACACCTCTTCCTTGTGACTCCACTTCCCTGTGACACGGTACACCTCTTCCTTGTGACTCCACTTCCCTGTGACACGGTACACCTCTTCCTTGTGACTCCACTTCCCTGTGACACGGTACACCTCTTCCTTGTGACTCCACTTCCTTGTGGCGCGGTACACCTCTTCCTTGTGACACGGTAGACCTTTTCCGTGTGACGCGGTACACGACTAAAAAAATCCCATAAATGTTTTTCTTAATAAATATCGTTGAGAGAGTAGACGAATTATTGTTATAGCTATTCATTGAGGCGTCTTCTTTGCCAAATTCAGATATTTGAAGAGTGATGTTTTAAGTTATCGTACTCTAGTTGGTTAAGTTATCGTACTCTACTGGGCTAAGTCATCATATTGAAGGTATTAAGACAGGTCATCATATTCAAGGGGATAAGTCATTATAAGTTAAATCGTATTCAAAGGATTGACCTTAAATTTGACGTATGGCCTTTACCTTGGGAGGTCATGAAAGCTAGTCCATTGAATAAGGCATCCTTAAAACTATATATCATACCAAAATCATGTTTCTGGTCTCCGAGATATGCCAATAGGTGTATTCTGTCAACTGACCCAACCGACAGCGTATTCGATGCAATAACCGAAAAATAAGTTCAGGTTATGTTTTACAGATGCCCTCCCCCTACCATTTTCGTTAACTATGAACATTGGTTTTTCATAAAAATTGGGTCTCCCTTTATGTCTAGAGTGGTACCACTTTCCTCTCTGAGCCCTTTTCACTCCACCATCCCTCAGTTACAACACCTTGACTGCAGCGTTGCCAACTTACCACGGAAGTATGCAACATATACATACAGTAACAGTGCAGATAATATAAGTAATGGTAAGCACTAAGCAGTACAGTCATTATGAGTTTATTTACTTTGAAGTCTTGTGGGATTGAAGGACTAATTAGTAGCTTATTATTATTATTATTATTATTATTATTATTATTATTATTATTATTATTACTATTTGTTGTTATTATTATTGGTGTTGTTTTATGTTACAGGTGGAGGTCGAAGGATGTTGGCAGTGTATTTGACATTGGGGGTGGTGATGGTTGAGAAGTCAGCCACACAACCTACCTCATCCACCACACTCCACCAAACCACCATCACCACACACTCCCACAACTACCGTCCGACTACAACCACATTCCCACACACCACCACCGCCACACTCTACCACAAACTCGCTAAAACCACATTCCACGCCCACCACATTAGAGAGAATCCAGCAAAGGACTCTACGGTACTCAACCAGCCACCACCAAAGGACTCCACCGTATTCAACCAGGCATCAACTAAGGACTCTCTAAACCTGTTAGGAGACCAGCAGAAGGTCCTTAAGACAAACATACAATCAGCTTCTATCATGGCGTCGACCAGGGTGACTCAGGACCCACAAACAAGGCGTGATCCAAGTCTTACAGAGCCATTGACATTATTACCCGAAAACACCGAAAACAAAACCCACCACACATTACCACAATCCTCCATTAATAGCATCACCTATAAACAAGCTGACGGAGATCTCGACGAAGTGCTCCAGTCAGCGAGAATACCTCCAGCATGGGGCAGGTTAAGACCCAGACGGGATATCCCAGGAAGGATATCTCACACTACTGGGATTCTGGAACACGGGGATGGGATGGGTCCTCTGGGGAATTCGGTTATACGAATGGACGTCGAGGAACCACCTGCAGAAGAGGTGGCCGCCATGATCTCAGACGCCGTGACCCATCACTTAGCTGGCTGTCATAAGGTATATTATTGTGTTCCTCTTTGTAGCAGTTTGGGAGAATTTTCAAATGTTTGTTTTTTTCTTCTCGTGTGAGGATAAAATATCGCAGCTGGCTAGACTATAGAGCCTCAGGGTTAAATATCTCTGCCATTCTATGTGATACGGGTGTTAATGTGATCCAGACGTAGCCAGAGTATACAGTGGTGGGGGAAAACTTATACAGTGGTGGAGGAAAATTTGTACAGTGGTGGGGGAAAATTTATAGAGGTGGGGGAAAACTTATACGGTGGTGGGACAAAACTTATACAGTGGTGGGGGAAAACTTATACAGTGGTGGGGGAAAACTTATACAGTGGTGGGGGAAAACATATACAGTGGTGGGGGAAAACTTACCTTACGATCCCTGGAGTAGTGAACAAATTAAAGGTCTACAGGAAAATTCACCTTATAGTTTAGTTCACCTTAAGAACAACCACCCAAACCCGAGCCTAACTTTATCTAATCTAACTTCATGCTAACCTACTTTAGTCTAACCTAGAACTAATTTAACCTCATGCTAACCTAATCGAACACTAAACTAAACTAACCTAACCCAATCTAATATAAATCTAATCTAATCCCTACAAGTAGCGTTATGGTGTATGGAACAAATCTTTCAGACGAACTAAATGAAACTATTGTATACTAAACGCAGTACACACTATTACCGCCTTATCTTTATACAGTAACCGATGTAAACAAACCTATCTCCAGGTGGTGTTGTATGTGGAACCCTACGGAAACCTGGTGGAGGCGGTGGTGAAGAGCCTGGAGGAGGTGAGACAGGTGTGGGAGTTGGACACCTTCCTGACCACACCTCCGCCCTCACACACCATCTTCACCACCACTCATCACCATCACGCCACCACCACCCTCTGTGTTGCAATCATAGTCCTCGCTGACCTACAGGTAACCTTCACAGGTGTTGGGGGTGTCTACAGGTCAGACTCATCCAACCTAACCTAACTCAAGTAACATTGGGGTGTTTACTCATCAGGCATGTGTTAAATTGGAGTGTATTAAGCTGACGTGTGTTAAGCTGGAGTGTATTAAGCTGACGTGTGTTAAGTTGGAGTGTATTAAGCTGACGTGTGTTAAGCTGGAGTGTATTAAGCTGGCGTGTGTTAAGCTGGAGTGTGTTAAACTGGATTGTGTTAAGCTGGGCATGTATTAAGATTGGTGGTGTTCTGTACAGAGTGTTGGGCGAGCGACGAAGGCGGTGCAACGGGGCAGGTGGTTCCAAGGCTCCCACAAGCAGGTGTTGGCGTATACCGGGGCCTCCCTCAACCTCCATACCCTCACTCAACACCCTTACCTCGGTACTTATACTTCCTTGTGTCTACCTCACCCTTGACACCCTGCCTTCTTGTTTGGTTTATTTTGAGAATTAACTGCAACATATACAGTATATAAGTATGAACACTATGTCCACACACACACATGCTCACGTATATCCCCAAAACAATAACATGACCACTATAAATTAGATATATCCCCTCAATAATAGCAAGATAAGGCGTTTGTGTGTGTGTTTGTGTGTTTAACAGGGTCAGGATATGGGATAGTGGTAGTGTCATGGTGGCCGAGGGAGGAGAACGCCCTTACACAGCACCATCACCAGCAGCAGGAGGAGAAAGAAGAAAACGAGATTAGTGGCCCACGTGTATATCACCTATTGTCCCCCTGCCCCTACTGCCGTGACGGAGGCGCTGAAGTGGTGCTCATTGATGAGTGGCAGCCTGGTGGTTGTGGCTTCGTGTTGGGGAATTCTCTATATCCCGACACGTTCAAGGTAAGCGATTGTAATTAAGAATTCTTCAAGGGATGCTGTATGTTATTGTTGTGATTGTTATTGTAGTTATAATTATTGTTGCTGTGGTTATTATATTCGTTTTTGAAATTATTATTATTAATATTATTATTATTATTATATATACTAAAACAGTATTTCCTTTACACATTACAATCCTTAAAATTTTTACCTTAAACTTGCCCCGTTATAAAGATTATTCAACATATTGCTTCTTATAGCATTTAAAGTCTCAATAATTATTCTACAAAATATATATATTTCTTGTAAAATTTCCTCTTGTAAGAGCATAAAAAAACACACAAAGTTATTACAGTTCTACCCTTTGTTATCGCTCTTCCATTTTATTTTATTTGTAAACCTTCTGACAGGGGGAACTTGTGGATTCATGTTATCTGTCTTAGCGTCCATCAGATCAACACTGTCAATAACTTAAACAAAACAACAAAGCATTTTCACCAAACTTCCGATGTTAGTGTTACAAGACCTTGCACCAGTTTCATGATTAATGTTTTGTGGGGTTATTGTATAGTTATGGTCCCTTGGACTTTGTTGTGACGCGGCGGGCGGAATCTGACAACTGTACCTCCGCAGATAACCTCGAGTTTCCACCATTCCTTTAGATTGACGGAGTGAATGTTGAATGACTTTGCAACATTCCCCTCCAGCATACAAAGACGATTTCTCTCTCCAGTATACAAATGCGATCTCTCTCTCCAGCATACAAAGACGATTTCTCTCTCCAGTATACAAATGCGATCTCTCTCTCTCCAGCATACAAATGCGATCTCTCTCTCCAGTATACAAATGCGATCTCTCTCTCTCCAGCATACAAATGCGATCTCTCTCTCCAGTATACAAATGCGATCTCTCTCTCTCCAGCATACAAAGACGACGACTCTCTCCAGCATACAAAGATGATTTCTCTCCCCAACATAGAAAGACGACCTCTCTCTCTCTCTCTCTCTCTCTCTCTCCCTTTCTCTCTCCAGCATAAGAAGACAATTCTTCTCTCTCTCTCCCCAGCATAGAAAAACAACCTCTCTCCCTGTCTTCTAAATAACACACACACAACTCTCTCCACTATACAGAACTTCCAAGGCCACAGGTTCAACATTGTCACCCTTGAGTACGCCCCTTTCTCCTGCTACGACAAGGCGAGCGACGGAGGGGCTGAGGAAGGGGAGGTGGTGCTGAGGGACTGTGTTGACACCAGGATATTGAACGCTCTGGCCTCGACACTAAACTTCACCTACAATATCAGGGAACCAAGGGATCATCAATGGGGCTACAGGCTAGACAACGGCACTTATACTGGTAAGGTTGTGCTATTGCTACTATTACTACGACTAATGTTAATTACTACTAAAACCATTAACTACTACTATCAATAACAATCACTATTATTACTAATTTGATGTACTATTATTATTATCATCATTATTATAACTACTATTAATACTACAGTCTTCAGATTCCCCTAAAATTATCCCTAAACGACATCTAAAATTCCCTAGTTCCCCCTCCCCCCGAATTTTTCCCTCCTACCACCACAGAAACTTTCCACCCGTCTTCCCCAACACACACTCACTCCCCCACTACCACAATAACCTTCCTCCCGTCTTCTCCAACACACACTCACTCCCCCACTCCCACAATAACCTTCCTCCCGTCTTCCCCAACACACATTCACTCCCCCACTACCACAATAACCTTCCTCCCGTCTTCTCCAACACACACTCACTCCCCCACTACCACAATAACCTTCCTCCCGTCTTCTCCAACACACACTCACTCCCTCACTACCACAATAACCTTCCTCCCGTCTTCTCCAACACACACTAACTCCCCCACTACCACAATAACCTTCCTCCCGTCTTCTCCAACACACACTCACTCCCCTCACTACCACAATAACCTTCCTCCCGTCTTCTCCAACACACACTAACTCCCCCACTACCACAATAACCTTCCTCCCGTCTTCTCCAACACACACTCACTCCCCCACTACCACAATAACCTTCCTCCCGTCTTCTCCAACACACACCACGCTCTTAACCTTCTTCATCCCCTACAGGAGTAATCGGGGCGGTGGAGAAGTACGAGGCAGACTTCTCCCTCAACGTGGCTTTTACCGGGGATCGTGAGAAAGTAATCGACTATACAGTGGGGTATTTCTACGACCCCCTCACCTTCTGTACTACTAAGCCACGACCCCTCAACCAAGTCCTCGCTCTCATCAGGCCTTTTCAACCCCTGGTACGACCCTCTCCCCCCACTCTCCTATCATAACCTAACCACATACCAAACCCAACCCAACCAAAACATTAGGGCACGGAAACTAGGCCTAATATAGGGGCCCTTAATTTTAATAGAAGCTTGTCCTAATGGGCCCCAAATTCAGTCATTAGGTTAGGTTACTGGTGTGATAGTGTTGTGTTACAGGTATGGTAGTGGTGTTGTGTTACAGGTATGGTAGTGGTGTTGTGTTACAGGTATGGTACTAGTGTTGTGTTACAGGTATGGTACTAGTGTTGTGTTACAGGTATGGTAGTGGTGTTGTGTTACAGGTATGGTAGTGTTGTGTTACAGGTATGGTAGTAGTGTTGTGTTACAGGTATGGTAGTGGTGTTGTGTTACAGGTATGGTAGTGGTGTTGTGTTACAGGTATGGTAGTGGTGTTGTGTTACAGGTATGGTACTAGTGTTGTGTTACAGGTATGGTACTAGTGTTGTGTTACAGGTATGGTAGTGGTGTTGTGTTACAGGTATGGTAGTAGTGTTGTGTTACAGGTATGGTAGTGTTGTGTTACAGGTATGGTAGTGGTGTTGTGTTACAGGTATGGTAGTGGTGTTGTGTTACAGGTATGGTAGTGTTGTGTTACAGGTATGGTAGTGGTGTTGCGGTACAGGTATGATAGTAGTGTTGTTACAGGTATGGTAGTAGTGTTGTGTTACAGGTATGGTAGTGGTGTGTAGTGTTGTTACAGGTATGGTATGGTAGTAGTGTTGTGTTTATGGTAGTGGTGTTGTGTTACAGGTATTGGTAGTAGTGTTGTGTTACAGGTATGGTAGTAGTGTTGTGTTACATGGTAGTGTGTGGTACAGGTATGGTAGTAGTGTTGTGTTACATGGTAGTAGTGTTATGTTACAGGTATGGTAGTAGTGTTGTGTTACAGGTATGGTAGTGTTGTGTTGTACAGGTATGGTAGCAGTGTTGTGTTACAAGTGGTAGTAGTGTTGTGTTACAGGTATGGTAGTGTTGTGTTACAGGGGTATGGTAGCAATGTTGTGTTACAGGTATGGTAGTAGTGTTGTTACAGGTATGGTAGTAGTGTTATGTTACAGGTATGGTAGTGTTGTGTTACAGGTATGGTAGTGGTGTTGTGTTGGTATGGTAGTTGGTTGTGTTACAGGTATGGTAGTGTTGTGTTACAGGTATGGTAGTGGTGTTGTGTTACAGGTATGGTAGTGGTGTTGTGTTACAGGTATGGTAGTAGTGTTGTGTTACAGGTATGGTACTAGTGTTGTGTTACAGGTATGGTAGTGGTGTTGTGTTACAGGTATGGTACTAGTGTTGTGTTACAGGTATGGTACTAGTGTTGTGTTACAGGTATGGTAGTAGTGTTGTGTTACAGGTATGGCACTAGTGTTGTGTTACAGGTATGGTAGTGGTGTTGTGTTACAGGTATGGTAGTAGTGTTGTGTTACAGGTATGGTTGTTTTACAGGTGTGGGCAGGGTTCGTGGGAGTGTCGATGGTAGTAGCCCCGCTGTACTACTTGGCGGGAACGGTAGAGAGAATACCCTCACTTAACCTCAAGTCTCCGTCAATCTCAAAAGCCTTTCTCAAAATCTACGGCGCCTGTCTCTCGTAAGTAGATTTCTTCACTTTCTCCTATTTAAATATTACTTATTTACTTATCTATTTACATATTCATTTACTTACTTACTTAAAACCTGTTATACACTGTCAGAAGATATCAAGTGACATTCAAGAGCAAAAACAATGGAAAAAAAAATCAACCATGTCAATATTTGTTTACTTTACGTCAACACTATTACTCCGGCTAAATAAATAAACTGGCTAAATAAATAAAAGATGGTGTGGTGTGCCTGTTTGTTTATCAGTCAGAGCTGTAGGTGGTCAGGAGAGAACGGTCCGCGGGTTCTGGTCGCGGCCTGGCTGGTCTTCTCTATGGTGACCCTGACTTCTTACGTGGCCATGTTGACTGCGTCCTTGACCCTGCCCACACTCTCACCCACACTCAACTCCCTCGAGCAGCTGGTGGAGTCTGACTTCTCGTGGGGCATCCAGGTAGGTGTGAGGATAATGCCCAGTTAAGTGTTAAAGGTGAGGATAATGCCCAGGTGAGTGTTGAGGATGATGCCCAGGTGAGTGTTGAGGATGATGCCCAGGTAAGTGTGGAGGATGATGCCCAGGTAGATGTGAGAGTATTGTGGTGTTGGGGCACTGTTAGCTGGGTGTGGTGTTGGGGTTTAAAGAGAAATCAACGTAACGTAACAATCCAATTAATCAATAATCTAACCTAACCAATCCCTAACTAACCTGAAACTAACCTAACCATCCCTTAACCTAACCAATCCCTAACTAATCTAACCTAACTGGTGACTCGGGTTTCGACAGGACCAGGGCGCCGCGGACTACCAGCTGTTGAAGTCGTCGAGGGTGCCACTGTATCAGAAGGTGTACCGGGGCCTACAGGTGTGCCCCTCCCTGGATGAGTGTCTTGCGAGGGCCAGGGACACCAAGTACGCCTTCATCACCTGGAGACTGTACATGGAGGACAGGATAGCTATAAGGTATCTCCTCTTCCTCCTCCAGCCCGGGTGCTTGTCTCCTCCCTGTTACGGTTCGGTGACTTAACCGAACCTAACCTAACCTCATGTAACCTGACATCCTAACCCAACCTAATCTAATGTAACCCAACTCAGCCTAACCTATTTTAACTTTATCTAACCTAACTTTACCTACTCTAACTTGACTCACCAAACTAAAACTTAACCCCACCTAACTTTACCTGAACTAATTTAATCTGTCCAAACCTAATTCAACCTTATCTAACCTGACTTACCCCCTCCAAAAATTTTTAATCATAGTTGGCAGTAAATCTAATCCACAATCTTACCAATACTAATCAACCAATCTCAGCTAATCTCAGCACAATCAAGACATCCTCCCCCCAAAAGATTAGTACAAAGAGTAAGATTTATGTCACAGTGAATGTTAAAATCTGTGGCACATGAATTTATGGTTTAAGCTGATTATTATGTGCTGTAGTCTCATGTTGAAAGTGTTTTATTATCAAGGGAATGAATTAAGTCACTTATCAAGACAATAGGCACCCCAGCTTATTTCACAAGATTATCAAACATCCTAAAATTAACCTAACCTAACCTAACCTGACCTGACCTGACCTGACCTAACCTGACCTAACCTAACCTGACCTGACCTGACCTAACCTAACCTAACCTAACCTGACCTAACCTAACTCCTCCAGGTTGCATTAGGGTGTTTAATAATCAGGTGTAACAAGCCCTCCTAGTCTTCACATGGTCTCAAGTCAATTCTTTCATTTCATGATTTAATGTAGAGGGACAGTATTATGAAATTTGTTTAAAATACAGTCTCATGTGACATCTTTATTCTTGAGATGTTAAGCTTGTAGGGGCGACCTCACCTGACGCGTGTGTTCGGGCCAAGCACAGTCGAACCAGTGTCAATTACGTAAACAGTGTCCTCCACTACGGCACCTCAGTTACCCAGAGAGATAAAAACACCTGCAACTACCTAACTTACACTACAGACAGGAAAGGGGCGACTTAAGAGAGGTTTATAAATATCTCAAAGGACATTATTCAGTCAAGTGTCCACACCTGGAGCTGGTGGATGGCCGCCTCACACGGGGTCACAGCTTCAAGGTTGAAGAAGCCACAAGTCCAGAAAACTGTGAGCAAATCTTTTTTTTTTTTGGAGTTAAGAATTGTAAGCTCTTGGAACAATCTGCCAGAGTGTAATGTGATGGTACCGAATGTGAGCCCATTTAAGACCAGAATTGACCAACACTGGAGCAGGTACAGATACATTCTGGAGCCAGTACAGTACTTGCCAACAATGTGTAACAGAGACGTGACCGACTGCCCAAGTGGCAAACAAGCAGATCAATGGTGAAGAGAATAAAGTACAATAACAGTAAAGGTACACATGGAGGTTACATCACCTTGTATTGTTACAGGTTCACATCAGCGACGGGAGAGCGACAGCTGCATGTAGCCACCAATGACTTCTTCCCCTCGGAGATTGGATGGGCGATGAACCCCGGGTGTCCCTTCCGCGGGAAATTCAACCAGCAGATCCGTCGTCTGTTAGAAGGTGGACTCATCACTAAGTGGCTCTTGCAGATAATCAACGACCCCAAGAGACGCGAGGTGGTTGAGGGCGAGGAGGTGTTGGAGGGCGAAGAGGTGCCACGTCGAGAAGGACCTCAGCGCCTGGGTCTAGACCAACTCCAGGGGGTCTTCTACATCCTCATCTTAGGTGACATCATCGCTTCGCTTTTGTTTGTGGTGGAATTCTATAAACACTCTCCCTGATGACGAAACAGTTTAACCCCGATAAGAGAAAATAAGAATCAAGTCGTGTTTATCCTCTGTCCGCCCATACAAAACATATCCATTCAATAGCTAGAGAAATTATTTGCAGATGTAAATGAAACTTAAAATACAGGTTCATATCATTAATATCCAGGTGTCGTTTGATAATTAGTATTGTTTATATTTATTCACTTGAGTAATGTCTCACACTTAGCCTTTGTCAGTGACCAACATCACCTTTCTGAGAGTGTGCGGTAGAATATGTAATAGGATTCACTAATACAGTACCTAGTAATTTTTAAATTTGCAGCATATACAGTAATCAGATATCAAAAGTGTTTTAAAGATGAAATGCAACTCTCTTGTACTTCATAAATAATTTTTTCACCATTTTTGTAATCTTTTCCTAAGTAACAATGAAAGTACAATATGCTGAAATGCTGTAACACAGTTTTTTTTTACTACCAATATCCTTACTTACTTCACTAGCTTAAATCATTATTCTTTAACACTCCGTGTTATTAAGACTACAATAAGCTTTCAGTGTATCAGTATTCTCCTACAAGCACCATAAAACCTACTCCTCAATTCACTAGAGACGTGATAAGTAGACTGTGTCGCGATCCCACTACCCTTTATACCTGGGGAGTGAAACCTACCCCAAGTTATTATCAAATAAAGGAACAAATAGGGAATACGGCAATAATTATCCCCACAAAAACCTACTCAACTAAATGTACTTGAATAAGTATGAACAGTTGAAATAAGTAAGTCACAAAAGGGAAGATAATTAATTAATTCAATTTATGTTCTAAAGGGAGTAATGACTAGCAAACAAGAATTTAAGGGAATAAGTGATTATATATTAAAATAAGAGTGATGCCGGAAGGGTGAAAATACACCGTTAAGGAGTTAGACCAAACGAATACTACTTAACATAACTATATTACATAGACATACAAAATATATACATAGTTATTTCCTACCAAACAGGAGATTCCTTACCACCAGGATCCCTTCCTAGGCCTAACTAAATATGTCACTAATACCTGATACCCCTAGGGCATTGCAGAAGACTGGACAAGGCACTAGACAAGGGTCAAGGCTAGAGAACGAGTGGACACGTCTACCATATACCACGGTTTTTCGCTACTGGGGAAGCGTGGGGCACGCCGAGGAGCGCGTCTCATATCACGTGATCCAGGACATTTGCTGGATAGTTTATATAATTAATTAATACTACTCTTGATTTGACTTAACAGAGTAAGACAATGATGCATATAAATAAATGACATACATATACAATTAACCTAAGTAACTAAGAACAATAATAATATAATAAGTACAATTAACAAGTTAATAGCTTGTGTGAAATGTAGGCGTGAACATATGCCTCACGCTATGCGAGTTCCCGAGCGCTACAGGCACGTGACAACTGTCTCCTCCACCAGCAGTCATTGAACCAGTTAGTGTGAGAGAAAGTGTGGAAAGTGAAGAAATACTTGGAGTTGTGAATTTTGCCAGCAAGCACTAGGAATGTGTGCAGCATGATGGCAGCTGTCACACCATGGGAACAAAGCCAAAACTCACCTCCAAGAGTGACACTTAATCAGTGTACAAAATAACACAAACGGGGAGAACTGATCCTTGAATTTCTTCCACGAGAGCTGGATGTCGTTCACTGGTCCTTGACAACCAACGGACCTTGCCTATTAAGTTTTTTATGACGACCTGAAATTATATAACTGCTTTAGTAACACTGCATGTACAGTATATGGACACTGTATTTTCCTAGTTACAGTACATATATTAGATAGCATTTTCATACCGAGAAATTTCTCTACAGAGGGCTAAAGGAACCCTATACAGTATTTCACATCCTGTCACCTCAGTGGTTAAGCATGTATGGTGTAGTCGAGTCGCACTGATTCTAATAAATCCTGTCTGAATAATTTCCTCGAAAAAATATTTATATGTCCGCTGAACAAGTGCCAGGAGCATGGATTTTAAAAACTACTTGTCTGGCCCCTAGTCCGCCGGGCACTGTTGATCTTCACCTGGGCCACGTGCCCACCCCCAAAAAAAAAAAAAAAAAAATATATATATATATATATATATATATAATATATATATATATATATATATATATATATATATATATATATATATATATATATATATATATATATATATATATATATATATATATATATATATATATATATATATATATATATATATATATATGGCATCAAAATTCTGAAATTGGTCTGATTTAAAACATTCTCAAACCCTCCTCCTCCCCCCGACCTTCAAGTTGTGTACGCCATTGCCCCCCCCCCAAGAGGTAGATCAGCTACTATAATAGCCCGTCTTATAGGCAGAAGTATTATGTAAATGGTTAATTACATTTGATTTATATACTCTATCACCCTCTGTAACTTTCCACTAGCTATGAGGTAGCATGTTCAGAGCACGTGATAAGGTGTGCCCGGGAAGTCGTGTCACTTAGGTGCTGAGCTAAGGCATTAAGTAGCCGGTTCTCTGGCCACCTGATGCGGGCAGTAGTTTGATATCCTTGACTAGAGGAAGACGTTGTTGAGAGCCATCGTGGATTGAATTGAATTGGATTTTTGAATTGAATTGAAACAGTTTATTTAGCCAGAAAAACACAAATACAGAGTGGATAATAATAACAATATTAACATGGCTGAGCCTGTTGAGAACCTGAGCTCTCTTGTAGGCACCTGATATATACTGTACATTTATCTCAAGGAAGTATTATGCAACATTTAGTATCATCTGGAATAGTACACAGCCTGGTGGTAATAAGAACATGTCAGAATGTTACCACGGTTATCACTTCAATATTTATTAATTTTATTTATTTAAAAAAAATTTAGTTTATTTTTTTATATATACAGTACATAAATTACAGTGGAATTGAAAAACATAAGTATTATGGGGGAGCAGTACAACATAGGTTGTACAGTAATAAGGTTGAACAAGAGGACAGAGCTGTCAGGATTATGTCTAGTTGGCAATTATGTTTTTTGCAGTAGTAATTACTTATCTATTTACATGATAATTTCCGATAAAACGGTTTTTATGGTACAATAAAAGCAGGTACTGTAAATACAGTAGTTGTTACATGAAATATTAATACTCGAGGGAGGACGTCGGATATATTTCCATCTTAACACTCATAGCTACAGTGATTAAGTTACTTTTCCTTTTCTTTTATCCTCTTCACCAAAAGCTCGGCTCGTTAGCCGCTTGGGAGATCGGTCACGTCTCTGTTACGCACTGTTGGCAAGTACTGGGCATGCACCGGCTCCTGAATGTACCTGAACCCGCTCCAGTGTTGGTCAAGTCTTGTCTTGAAAGAGCTCACACTCGGTGCCGTCACAACACTTTCTGGTAGATTGTTCCAAGAGTTTACAACCCTCACTCAGAAAACGTTTGCCCTCAGAGTTTTCTGGACTTGCGGCTTCTTCAATCTTGAGCTGTGACCCCCTTGTGGGGCGAGCGTCCTCCGGCCCTAAGTAAGGACACTCTACTGAATAGTGCCCTTTGAGATGCTTATACACCTCAATTAGGTCACCCCTTGCCCGTCTGTAGTATAAGCTAGGCAAGTTCAGGCGCTCCAATCTCTCAGGGTAGCTGAGGTGCCGAAGTGCAGGCACCAGTCTAGTGGCCCTCCTTGGAACATTTTCAATCAACTGACAGTCCCTAGCATATCTCGGGGACCAGACGGGGTGACAGTACTCCAGATGGGGACGCACTTCACTCTTGAAGATCGTTACGAGGGACGGACCGTCTAGATATCTGAACGACCTTCTTATAAGACCCAATAATTTATTTTCCTGATTTACCTTCTTCTCGTAACGGCCTGAGAACTTCAACTCATTGTCAACTTACACACCTAGGTCCTCCTCACATTCAGTCTCAAATAGCGCAGTTTCTTCATCCCGTTGGGACATATGATACGCCTCCTTACTGTTGGTACGCCCAAGGTGCATCCTCTTACACTTCGTGACATTGAATCTCAGCAGCCATTTCTTCGACAATTCTTGGAGCTCACAGAGGTCCTTCTGCAGCTCTTCACAGTCAGCTTGGTTCTTGATTTCCCGAAATAACTTGGCGTCATCGGCAAACATTTGTATGGAGGAGTGTACGTCAGGCATATCATTTATGAAACAAAAAAACAACAGCGGGCCCAATACACTGCCCTGTGGTACCCCACTTGTGACAGGTACGGATGATGATTTCGTGCCATTAATCACCACACACTGCTTGCGGTCATGTAGAAAGTCTTCTATCCACGCTAGGATATTTGCCCGAATTCCGTACCCTTCCAGTTTGATTTTCAGCCTTTCGTGGGGTACACTGTCGAAAGCCTTGGTAAAATCTAGGTAAATATTGTAAATATTACCACCCCGTTTCAGAATATGGGTCCAAATATCCAATACCTTGAGCTATTGTGTTAAGCAGGAGCGCCCCGGCATAAAACCGTGTCAGCAATCCTTTACAAGGTTGTTTCGTAGATGTTCCATCGCGGCATATCTGATAGTACTCTCAAGTACTTTACATATTATGCTGGTCAAGCTCACCGGTCTATAATTGTTCGTGGAGTGACGATCGCCCTTCTTGAAGATAGGACTCACATGAGCCACTTTCCATTCACTGGGGACCTTTTGTTCATCCAGGCATTTACAAAACAGGATCTTCAGGGGCTCGGCAAGCTCGTTGCACAACTCTCTCTAGGATGCACCATGTCAGGGCCGGGACTCTTATGGACCTTTAGCCTGGACTGTTTATTTCTAATACCCTCTTCTATGAACACAATGTGGGTCAGTGCTGTGTCGAACCGTCTGTCCTCAAACGCAGGAAGGTTAATTGCATCCTCTCTTGTGAACACCGAGGAAAAGAAGCTGTTCAATGCCTCAGCTGTATCATGGTCAGAATCTGCGTAATTACCATCTTCAAGCCTCAGGTCTGATACTCTTACTCGCGTTTTTAATTTCGACTTTGCATAGCGGTAAAACGCCTCTGGGTTTGACTTGACCTCGCTTGCAACCAGCCTCTGGAACTCCTTTTCAGCCCTCCTACACTCTATATTTGCTTGGTTTCTGGCTCTTGCATACATCCTCCTGTCCCACATCTTGAATTTCTGGGTTTTCTTCTTAACTCTGTCGACCGCCGCGTGGTTCATGTGTAGGGATCCCCTCGTATTCCTAGAGGCACTGGGTTTGGTCTTGGGTATATATTTATCTATCAAATGGGTCACTTTACTAGTTATGATATTCAGCGTAGTGTCTGCGTTCTTGTGCCTTAATGAGTCAGGTCATTTGATACCTCTCATCTCTTCCCTCATCCCGTTGTAATTTCCCTTGCAATATTTGCACCGTGGCCTGGCCTTATCCTGAACTAGGTAACAGTTAAA